CTCCAATCTTGATAAATGGTCTGTCATTTGATTCTTTGTTATAAATCTCCAAATCGAACTCTTGTAGTAGAAAAATCGATCTTATCAATCTTAGATTAGCATCCTTCTTGGCAATTAAATACTTGATTATTGAATGATCAATGTAGACTATCATCTTTGTTTCAATTAGATAGGAGTCAAATTTGTCAAAAGCAGCACCATAGCCAAAAGCTCCTTTTCTATTTTTGTGTAACTCACTTATGCCTCATTCAAGGTCTTACTAGCATAATAGATTGAATGAAAAATTTTTTCTTTCCGTTGACCTAAAACAACACCTATCGCATAGTCACTTGCATCACACATTAGCTCAAAAAGAAGAGCCTAGTTTATACTTATCAATGATAAATGCAAAAATCAATCTTTTCTTCAATTCATCAAATGCAACAAGGCAGGCATCATCAAATTTAAATCGCACATCTTTTTTCCAAAAAATTGCAAAATGGTTTTGAAATCTTTGAAAAATCCTTAATGAATCTCCTATAAAACGTAGCATGGCTAAGAAAACTTTCAATATCTTTTACATTTGTTAATAGTGGAAGCTTTTCAATTGTCTCAATTTTTGCCTTGTCTACCTCAATACTTCTACAAGAAATTTTGTACTTAAGAACAATGCCTTCTAGCACCATGAAGTGGCATTTTACCAAATTCAACACCAAATTTATTTCTTCACATCTCTAAAGCACTCTGGCAAGATTAGTGTGACAATCATCAAAAGAATAACTAAAAATAGAAAAATTATCTATAAATACCTCCAAGCATTATTCTACCATGTCTATGAATTTGACCATCATACATCTCTGAAAAGTGGCAGGTGCATTACATAATCCAAATGGCATTCTTCTAAATGCAAAGGTACCATATGGACCTGTGAAGGTGGTCTTCTTTTGATCTTCAAGGGCTATGGAAATTTGATTGTATCCTAAATAACCATCCAAGAAGCAATAGTATTCCCTACCAACCAACTTATCCAACATTTGATCTATGAAGGGAAAGGGAAAGTGATAATTCCTTGTAGCTTTGTTAAGCTTGTGATAATTCATGCTACTCTCCATTTAGTCATTGTTCATCTAAGAATCAACTCATTATTTTCATCAGAAACCACAATCATTCCTTTTTTCTTTGGTAGACATTGGATTGGCCCTACCCATGTGTTATCATAAATTGGAAAAATAATTCCAACATCCAACCACTTAATGATTTCTTTCTTGACAACTTATTTGATGATAAGATCGAGTCTCCTTCAATGCTCAATGGTGGCCTTGTGACTATCTTCAAGAAGGATCTTATGCATGCGTATGGAAGGGCTAATTCCCTTAATATCTGTAATGGTCCCTCCTATTATTTTCTTGAACTCTCTAAGCACTCTCAATAACTTGTTTTCCTATATGATAGTAAAAGAAGCAAAAATAATAATTGGAAGAGTAGAAGAGCTTCCAAGGAAAGCATACCTCAAGTGTGATGGCCAAGGTTTAAGTTCCAAGGTAGGTGGTTTTTCAATGGAAGGCTTAGACGATTGCATTAAAGAAGTTGAAACATCTAAAGACTCAAATTGATGATTAGATCTAATTTTTGATTGAGCATCTAACAAATTCAAGTATTCAAGAAATTTAATATCATCCTTGTCAAAATGAGAAACTATGTGTGCTTCAAGTGGGTCAATGGGATATTCTTCTAAAAATACCTTATTTGTTAGACTACTTCCTACATTCACAAAAAAACATTCTTTAGAATCTACGGGAAATTTTAAAGCTCTAAAATTATTGAATGTTATCTATTGGTCTTGAATTCTCAAACTAAGATCATCTTTTTCTACATCAATTAAAGTTCTGGTTATTTATAAGAAAGGTCTTCCAAGGATGATTGGAATTTGTCTATTTTCCTCCATGTCAAAAATCACAAAATCAATTGGAACAATAAATTTATCTACCTTGACAAGAACATTTTCAATTATTCCTCTTGGTTAAACTTAAGAGCAATCAACAAGTTGTAATGTCACAAAAGTTGGCTTGCATTCCTCCAAAGCAAGTTTTTCAAAGATCGACAATGGCATCAAATTGATACTTGTACCAAAATCACTTAAAGCTTTAACAAAGAACAAATTACCAATTGTGCAAGGAATTATAAACTCCTAGGATTCTTGAGTTTTGGTGGCAATTTGTTTTGTAGAATTGCACTTCATTCTTTTATCAGAGGCACGATCTCAAACTTGCCTAATTTTCTTTTTTTAGAAAGAATGTCTTTCAAGAACTTAGCATAATTTGGCATTTGTTGCAAAGTTTTAGCAAAAAGGATATTTATGTGTAGTTTCATGAATACATTAAGAAATTTCTGAAATTGCTTATCAAACTTTTGCTTTTGAATCCTTTTAGGAAAGGGTGATGGAGGATGATTGAGTTGAGACTTCACTTGATTTTCAACTTTCCCATCATTTCTCTTTTCAATTTCATCTTCTTTCTCAACAATTAGCTTTTCATCGTCAACATGCTCTTTTGAATATTCAACTGCCTTTTTACTTACCCTTTCAACCTCTCTTCCACTCCTTAGAATGATTTCCTTACATTATTTCTTACCTTTGGGATTGGCTTGAGTGTCACTTGGTAAAGTACCTTGAGACTTATTATTAATGGAATTAGCAAGTTCTCCCAATTAAATCTCAAGATTTCTCAATGAGGCTATTTGGCTCAGAACTATGGCATCATTCCTTATTTTGTATTGCATGATAACCTCTTCCAATGTAGGTTTCTTTTCAAAGACTAGAGGTCTAACTTGTGGGAAGCTAGGAGGGATGTTTGGCTTTGGATTTGAAGGTCTTGGGTTACTATTTAATGAAAAATTGGGATGATTCCTGCACCTAGGATTATATGTGTTAGAGTAAGGATTATTTTATTGTCTGTTAAAGTTTCCAACAAACTGCACCAATTTAGAATTAGATGGACATTGATCACTAGAGTGATCTTCTCCACACATATCAAAAGTTGCAAAGGGCCTTTGGATGGCATGAACCCCATTGTATCAAATTTCTTTGCTAAAACAACTACTTTTGCAATTAACACATCAAGTACATCAATCTTATAGGCAACAACAACTCTTCTATGATTAGATCTTTCTGATAGCCCTTGGTAGTTATTGAAGGCCATCTGTTCCAACAAATTGTAAACCTTATCAACATTCTTACCAATTAATGCCCCACCAGTTGCAGCATCAATTGTAGCTCTAATTGAACTCATCAACCCATTGTAGAATGTCTGAACTTGCAGCCATTTTGGAAGCCCATGGTGTGGACGTCTTCTAAGTAGATTCTTAAATCTCTCCCAAGCTTCATACAAGGATTCACCATCAAATTGTGTAAAAGTAGTTATATCATTCCTCATCTTAACAGTCTTAGCTAGTGGAAAGAATTTTGCCAAGAATTTCTAAACTAAGTCATCCCATGTAGTGATAAAGCTTGTTGGAAGTCAATTTAGCTAGCTATTTTCTTTATTCCTTAGTAAAAAAGGAAAGAGTCTCAATTTGACAGCATCATCAGTGATCCCATTGTACTTGAAAGTGTCACAAATTTTCAAGAATTTCACAAGATGAGAGTTAGGGTCATCACTTGATAATCCACCAAATTAAACTGAAGATTGATTCATCTAAATGTAAACAAGCTTGATTTCAAAACTGTTGGCATTAATTGGAGGTCTTCTAATGCTTTGGTACAAGCCTTGCAAGAAAGGAACATAATCTCGCAAGGACTTATTCTTTTTAGGAATAAGATTAACAGCATTGTTTCAACCTGAATTGAGACAACCTCAAACCTTATTCTGAATTAATTTTAAAATAAATGGAAACGTATGTAAACTAACAAAAAATTTTAAAACCGAGAACCGACCAAATAAATCAATTGGATCAAACTTTTTGGACTAATAGACCCAATAGATCAATTGGACCAAACTATTTTACTCAAATCGCATTCGGTTCGATTGAGTCATGGGTTCAATCTAATTTTCCTTGGCCCTACATGAATATACAACTTGCCTTTCAAGAAAAACTACTAAAAACTAAAAAAATTACAAAAGAGAAACTTACATTCTTGACCTCCTACTTAAGGTGGGATACAAAAAAGTTTGCGATTTATCAAACGTTTTGTTTAATTTTTATTTGTAGAAAAGAAATCTTGGGGTTAAGAGTGTTAATAAGAATTAGTTTAGTGTAAGAAAATGTTGGCAGTAATTGAGATTCTTATAAAAAAGATATGACTCGACCTATCATTAATACATGCATTAAAAACCTATATTTTAAGATTATCATAATATTATTTAAACTCTTTTTTAAATATTCAAAGGTCCAACACATATTGTACAAGTTTTGCAACTTCACTTCCTCTCATAAAGAAGTTATGAACTTCGAGAAGATTATATTTCTTCTGTTTCATATTTGTCTCTAATTTTAACTTTACACAAAAGTTAAGAAATTTAAAGGTGGATTTTGACTTCATTGATTATGAATTTTCTTTCACAACTTATCTTGACATAAAAAAAAAGTTATAATTAAGGCTAATAAGGAAAAGTAAGAACGATCTTTCTTGTTTCACTTTTCCAAATAAGATATTAATTTAGGACAAATAAAAATATGCAAAGATAAAATATATATGAGATGGAATAAGTAATTTCTATCTCTAGTTAGAAATTAAAATGCAAATTAAGGGCAAGCATTTATTTAAGCAATCACTTATACAACCATCCTTATAACTCGAACCTAGAACTTGAACTATATAATAAAACATTCATATTATGTGTAATAATTTTACCCATGAACTATAACTTTTGTTCTTTTGCTGCTCAGCAAATAAAAGACTTTATTGAATATATGAAGAAAGTACAAAGTAGATGTAGCCCCAAATAGAGTGGAGATATCACCATAAACATAACGAGAACAATACATCTGAGACAAACTCAAAGTAAATAAACCAAACAGCTAAACTTAACAACAATCAGAAAAATATAAAGAGACAAAAACAAGAACAACTAAAAGGCAAAGAAGCGCATGAGCTTTAGTTTACCATATTTCACAACCACCAAGCCTGAAGCCTGCCGCCAATCCATTATTTTACAAGAGGATAACGAGAAGAGCGGCAAAAAAGGAGACGGATGCCCAAGGACTGTTAAAATAATCATGCCTTAATGTCGCCTTCCATGTGTTCCAACGTCTTGCGCAATGCTTCTTCACATCAACAAATATCTCCTCGTAATAAAATGTGTCGCCGCTTAATGTAACATGGTCACGAAGTTTGTTAAGCATTTGAGCAACAGCTTCATCATCGCCTAACATATTTTCGATGATTCCACTCAAACGAAGCAATTGCACATCCTTGGCTGAGTTGATAAGGTTATCCACTAACGTGACATAATCAATGACATAAGTTGAACCTTCCTCGTATAGTTCATAGGCAATGAGGTTACGAAAGAGACGCTCGGTACAGTCTTCAACCACATAGGTTGGAATCTTCATTGTCGCGTCTGTAAAGCTCATATCAAACAAACTCATCACATCGCTCTCTTCAGTGCTATTCATGAATTGGATTCCTGCTTCTTCTAGCTCTGTTGCACAGCGTAAGGATTGCCATTCCACTAGGCCTTTTCTTACATTTTCCTTTGCTCTTGCACAGCAGATGAATTTCCATTTGGAGTTGTGGTCGATGCCCTTAGTCACACTGCTTTCTTCGTCGCCTTGGGATTTCTTTACTTTTGGCATTTCTACAGCACAAAGTCTGAATTTCCATTTTTCTTCTGCCTTTTCGTTTTCATTTTTTTTTTTTCTAGAATACTCTTGATGGCGCCTTATTCCTTGTGGAGCAGGAGACCAATTATCATGTACCAAGCTTAGTAGATGTTTGATGTTATCGGTCTCCTTGATGGTAGGAGGGTTTTTATTCCATTTCTTTGGCCCTGGCAGGAAATTAGAAAGGACAGAAAAAGCCTGGCAAGCGAAATCTTCTCTCTCTGTTGGATCCTTGATCACACGATACAAGTTCGCTAACACAAAGAAAGGAAGTTGATTTTCGAAGAGCAAGAAATCATGATGTAAGGCATTTAGGACCCAATTCAGTTTGAAAATAGGATCATCACCCGGTACCTTCCCACTCAATAGCTCAACAGTAAAGCGACCATCATGTAGCGTCATTTCTACAAATTTTTTATGGACATTAGGATCATCAAGTCTCACCAAAAAGGATGGGGAATACCATTGGCGAACTCGTTCTAGGTTCATGGCCTCCACATATCTATCCACGCTTTGCTCGCCCTTTCTCTCAAGAATCCTTTGTAAACACCGATGTTTGTACACTTTCCATCTCAATCAAGTGCGGCTTAGCATAATGGTAATAAGGACCAATTGAAGTTAGTTGTGGTTCATAGGCACTTTCATTTACCTGCCGTAGTTGATGAGGCACCTTCAAAAGATAGGCCTTCTCCGGTATTGCCTATGCAAAAATATGTAAGATACTTTGTTGGAAAGTTTTAGAAAGTTTTCTTTAGCCATGCTTAGTTGAGCAAAAGAGTAAATGGACACGACAGACAGGTGTAAGACATTACAGATACATACTTTTCATCTGTACTTACCAGAAGTAACGTGTTCAAACTGGAATATGATTAATTATAATAGCTAATAAAATGCAGGTGACGTGGGTGAAATTTATCAAATTGTCCATTAAAAATCTTCCCAACTTTATTACTTTTAATATTGTTGCAATTAGTATTATAAGGGAAGTTAATTAATTATGTCTTCAGCCGAATGTAATGAACTAATGGCCCTCCCAGTCCCAAAACAATTTTTAAAATTAGGACTTATAATTTTATTAAAAAGTCACTAAAAGACGAGGCAATTAATATATATATGTAATAATTCAAATATTTAGATATTTTTAAAAATGATGGTAATTTTCCTTTTTAATTGCCAATTAAAGTGAAGCATGTATAGGAATGTCGAACGTGGATTGCACGGTATCACACTTGGACCAAAAGCCTTATATATACTTTTTGCAATGGGATGGGTTAATCTAAGTACCTAATTTCATGATCATAAATAAATTTCGCATTTTCAAAATTTTCATTTACCTGAGTAACGGAAGGTATGACAGAAGCTGGCAGCTTCTTCCACTTTGTGGCACGCAAATCACTCTGTATTTCCTGTTTACTGGCAAAGTCGGGATTTCGTATATGAAGGAATGAAGATGATGTCTATAAAACAATCATATTAAAAGTTCAATATTTGACAAAAATGAAAAATAATTTACACGAAAAAAATTCATGTGAAAATTACAGAAATAACTCCGATTACATATTAAGTATAAAATAAAGATTTTTTTTAATAATTATTATATGTTAACATTAGGCATCTTTAAAGAGTTGAAGGGATCTATTATTAAATTAATGTCAAAGTCTTGTATGATTTCCTTTCTAATGAAAATGATTAATAAATTTCTATGAAAATCATCTAACATTTTACCTCGAGTCTCGTTCTTAACAAGTTATTGACTAGAGGTTTTCTTCACAGAGAATGTTGATGGCAAGAAAAAGAGTGTAAGGAAAAAATGACCTTTTTTTTTCCATTTAGTAAAAAGAAAAAATAACAAGAGGTGGTTGGTTGTGGGATCTTGAGAAAGTGGGGTTTGGAGAATAATTCTACTACAATGAGGGTTACTTACTAAAATTAGTTGTTAATTAATTGTTATGAGGCATCTCACCAAACAAAAAACAAATGTTGTAGGAGCAAAAGTATAAAATTCTAAAAAAACAAGGGTACATTATAAAAATTTTAAAACTTTTGAGGGTCTGCTACTGGTCCCCATTGCCTCTGCCTCTACACAGATAAATGTATGTTCTTTTTTCTTTCTTTTTTTTTTTTTTTTGCTAAGCCAATGGTTTAAATATTATTACTGAGCTTAAAAATGAACAATCATAAGCGGCAAACAACTACTTAGTTGTCAACACCAAAACCAGTGCATAGTTATAAAGTTCATCCTCTTCTACCAGAATGTCTACTAAGCTAGTGATTTACGCAAAAGCACACAAGATAGTAAGACACTTCCTACCACACACCAGGACCATTGCTTATGACATAAACCATCCCCTTGACCACTCAGACTTGAAAGATAAATGTAAGATATAATGCTGGGAAGGAGAAACTGGAGGAAACATGCAAAGGCACTAATAGTTAAAACGCAAGAGAAGAAAATTTAATAACAACTTGGGCCAGGGCAAGTTTCCCTTTGCTCTTGCGTGGTTTAAGCAAAAGATTATATGTACGTTAAAAACGAGTCTAAGCAAACATTTTTTACCAATATTTAATTTATAAATAATTATAATACAAATTAGTTATTTATAAAATTTTACCTAAATTTGAAAGAATAAACATAAAAAATCATAAAGTTAAAATAAGTATTGTTAAAATATTAACATAAATGAGTGAGAGTTATCATAAAAGGTCTATTTAAACAAAATAAACATAATTTTTGTGAAATTAATCATTTATATTTATATTTTCAAGTTAAAAATATTTAAATATTTACATATTTTAATTTATAAATAAATAATAATAAAGATAAAAATAACTATAGTGAAAAGCTGCCATTTAAAATCTTGACATAAATTTATAAGAATGTACGTAAAAAATCATAAAAGTGAAACAAGCATTGTTTGAATTTAATTAGTTTCTTAACTTCTACCAAAAGGGTTGGAGAATTTAGGAGGAATTTCATTATCAAGGGATTTTTATAAAAATTAATAAAGTAAATTTGAAATAAACATATAATATAAGCTTGATACAAACGAATAAACAAAAAATAATGCGAATAAATAAAAATTTTCTAATGATGAAATTTCAAGAATAATATAAGGGACAATCTTCTTGATAATTTATAAGTGAAGAAGTTTACGTAAATTCTACCAAAATGATTGGACAGTTTAGGAGAATTTTCAATATCAAATGATTTTTTAAAATAAAATTAATAAAAATAAATTTGAGATAAACATATAAAATAAGTTAATGCAAATAAGAGAGTATATAGAAAATTTTAAATTATGGAATTTCAAGATTACTATTAGGTATAGTTTTCTTAAAAATTTCTAGATGAGAAACTTTTCTTAAATTCTACCAAAATGGTTTGAGAATTTAGGAAAATTTTTTATATTAAAAGCTCTTATTTATTTTAAAATAGTGATAAAACGAAGGAATAGTTAACGGAAATAAATTAAAATATCGAAGTAAAGTTTAAGGCTAAAAAGATAACACATAACTAATTAAGTACCATTTCGAATGGATGTTGTGAAGGTGCTAATACCTTCCTCACACTTTTGAACCAGCTTGTTTTATAGACCAAAACTTATCCTTTAAAATGAACCTAAGTCAAGTGTAGGACATCATTTAAAAGTATAGATTCACTTATGTGACCAATCACATCTAAATAAAAAAGATTGGAGGCGTACTCATCTTTAACATTAAGTGATGGAGTTAACAAACTCATTCATTATAACAAGAAGTCAATCAAGTTAAAATAAATCTAATTTTTGTAAAAATTAAATATTTAAATTTATATTCTCGTGCTGAAAGCATTTAATGATTTATAAATTTTAATTTATAAAGAAACAATAATAAGGAACACAATAATTATACTGAAAATTAGAAATTAAAAAACCTTAACATAAACTTATAAGAATTAATGTAAAAAGTTATAAAGGTAAAACAAGTATTGTTAAAATGTTGACATAAATGTCTGAGATTTAATGTAACAAGTCAATTAAGTCAAAATAAATCTAATTTTTTTAAAAATTAAATATTTAAATTTATATTCTATAGTTAAAAGCGTTTAACAATTTACAAATTTTTATTTATAACGAAATAATAATAAAGATAAAAATAATTATATTGAAAATTGGCGATTGAAAAATCTTAACATAAACTTATAAGAATTAACATCAAAAACTACAAATATGCTACAAACATTATTAAAATATTAGCGTAAATATGTGAAATTTAACATAACAATTCAATTAAGTCAAAATGAATCTAATTTTTGAAAAAATTAAACATTTACATCTATTTTTTCGAGTTAAAATTATTTAACAATTTACAAATTTTAATCTATAAAGGAATAATAATAAGGATAAAATTAATTATAGTGAAAATTAAGAATAGAAAAACTTTGACGTAAACTTGTAAGAACTAACATAAAAAATTATAGAGATGGAATACGTATTATTAAAATATTAATATAAATATGTGAAATTTAACGTTTCATGTCAATTAAATCAAAATAAATATAATTTTTGTGAAAATTAAACAATTAAATTGATATTCTCAAACTAAAAATATTTAACAGTTTATAAATTTTAATTTATAAATGAATAATAATAAAGATAAAAATAATTATAGTGAAATTAACAATTGAAAAACCTTAACGCAAACCTATAAGAAGTAATGTAAAAAATTATAAAGGTGAAACAAGTATTATTAAAATATTAACATAAATGTGTAAGATTTAATGTAGCAAACTAATTAAGTTAAAATAAATTTATATTATCATGCTAAAAGTATTTAATGGTTTATAAATTTTAATTTATAAAGGAATAATAATAAGGATAAAAATAATTATAGTAAAAATTAAGACTTGAAAAACTTTGAAGTAAACCTATAAGAATTAATGTAAAAAATTATCAATGTAGAACAAAATTTGTTAAAATATTGATGTGAAAGTGTGAGATTTGACATAACAAATCAATTAAATCAAAATAAATATAATTTTGTGAAAATTAAAATTTTAAGTTTATATTATTGAGCCAAAATTATTTAACATTTTATAAATTTAAATTTATAAATGAATAATAATAAAGTTAAAAATAATTATAGTGAAAATTAACAATTGAAAAACCTTGACATAAACTTGTAAGAATTAATAGAAAAAATTATAAAGGTGAAACAAGAATTGTTTCAGTATTGACGTAAATGTATGAGATTTAATGTAGCAAGCAATTAAGTCAAATGAATATAATTTTTGTGAGAATTAAATAATTAAATTTATATTATCAAGCTAAAAATATTTAACAGTTTATAAATTTCAATTTATAGAAGAATAATAATAAAGATTAAAATAATTATAATGAAAATTATGAATTGAAAAACCTTAATGTAAACCTGTAAAAATTAACATGAAAAATTATAAAAGTGGAACAAGCATTCTTAAAATATTGACCTAAATGTGTAAGATTTAAGTAACAAGTTAATTAAGTCAAAATAAATATAATTTTTGTGAAAATTAAACATTTAAATTTATATTATTGAGCTAAAACTATTTAATAGTTTATAAATTTTAATTTATAAATGAATAATAATAAGAAAAAAACAATTATAATGAAAATTAATTACTAAAACTTTTTTGACGTAAACCTGTAAGAATTAATATAAAAAATTATAAAAGTGGAACAAGAATTATTAATATATTGATATAAATTTGTAAAATTTAACGTAACAAGTGAATTAAGTCAAAATAAATATAACTTTTGTAAAAATTTAATATTTAAATTTATATTATCAAGCTAAAAGTATTTAACGATTTACACGTTTTAATTATAAAGGGATAATGATGAGGATAAAAATAATTATAGTGAAAATTAGTAGCTAAAAAACTTTAAAGTAAACCTATAAGAATTAAAGTAAAAAATTATAAATATAGAACAAAAAATTGTTAAAATATTGACGTAAATGTGTAAAATATAATGTAACAAGTCAATTAAGTCAAAATAAATATAATTTTTGTGAAAATTGAACATTTCAATTTATATTATAGAGGTAAAAGTATTTAAAGATTTATAAATTTTAATTATAAATGAATAATAATAAGGATAAAAATAATTATAGTGAAAATCAGCGACTCACAAGCTTTGATGTAAAACTGTAAGAATTAACATAAAAAAATATACAAGTGAGACAAGAATTGTTAAAATATTAATATAAATGTATGAGATTTAATGTAATATTTGAATATATATTATTGAGCTATAAATTTTAACAGTTTATGAATTTTAATTTAGAAATAAATAATATTAAAGATAAAAATAATTATAGTGAAAATTAACAACTGAAAAAGCTTGGCGTAAACATATAAGAATTAGCATAAAAATTATAAAGGTGTAACAAGTATTAAAAAATATTGACGTAAATGTGTAAGATTTAATGTAGTAAGTCAATTAAGTCAAGATAAATATAATTTTTGTGAAAATTAAACATTTAAATGTATATTATCAAGCTAGAAGTATTTAACGATTTACAAATTTTAAGTTATAAATAAATATCCATAATGATAAAAATAATTATTTTGAAATTAACAACTGAAAAACCCTAACATAAATTTACAAAAATTAACGTAAAAAATTATAAAAATGGAATAAGCAAGGTTCAAATATTGATATAAATGTGTGAGAGTTAACGTAACAAGTAATGATAATAAGTTTACTTGAATTAAATTAGTTAGATATAATGTTGATTTAAAAAGAATAATATTCTTATAATTTAAGGTAAAAAAATAGAATAAAAATAAAAATTAAATAACATTTAAAATAAAATAGATAAGTTTAAAAATTACTTATATTATTAACATAAAAATGGATAAGCTTAAAAAGTAATTATGTTGTTTACATGTTAACTTGTTAAACACGTTTTTATTATTATTTTTAAATTATATTAATTGACCTTAATATTTATTTCATTAAATAAAATAAAAGAAAAATGATGCAGTTATTTTTTAAAAATAGAATAACGATGAAATACCCGTAGGAATCGCCATCAATGGTTCATCGATGATATGAATGGCCATGCAAGCTGTTAAGATTGGCACTTGGAAACCCATATAAGGCTGCCAACAGTTAGATCTGGTTATTGATACCCCTATCTGAGCAGCTGTTTTTGTTAAAAAAAGTCAATAATTATGCAACTTTGCTGCTTAAAATACTGAACATTCTGTTTGCACCGCTGCTAAAATACTGAACAAAGTAGCTGCTTCTTCCCAAGCCAATGTTCTTTCTTTCTTCTTTTATTTTTGTTTTTGTTTTTGTTTTTAAGTTTTTAGAGAGAAGGCCAAAGACACATGTTGAAGAATCTTTTTCCAATCAAAATATTAGCTTCTATATCTCATATCCAAGATAATAAGAAAATAAGAAAATCAGCTTTAACTCCAACAAATTAACCAAACTTATCAGAAAAGCATTAAAAAATATAAAGAATGTGAAAAATGAAAAAAGAAAAAAGAAAAGAAAGCATCGCATAAATGATGATATGATAGGATAAAAACTATAGCTAGCACTGCTCCCGTTTATGGGGGTGAGAAAGAAGGAACAAAAGAAAGATTTTAGACCTTAATTTTGTACCTGGTCCTGGTCTTCCACTGTAGATGATAAAGGAGACTGGGAAGATTGAATTACAGCATGTCCTCCCTCCTCTTCTGCTGGATTGGGTAAGAAAGGAGTCTGACAAGAAATTATGTCGGCCTTATTTCCATCGTCCACCATCTGCTCAATCGCTAGCTTCACTATAGAAGCAAGGAATTAAGAAGAAATTTTTTTTTTGGTGTATAGTCGTTGAGTGAAAGAGTTGTTCCCTCGCTGCTCTCCTTAGTTCATGGAAGGAATGGTTGGAGTTCAACGGGGGTTTGGTTGGGTTATTTATGAAGTGGCTGCAATGCAATCTTTGTTTCTTTTTTAATTTTTATTGTCATTAGGACATGTCCAGTTGGTAAGGACAATTCATAAGAAATAACCACGTGGAGATGTCACGGGGCAGTTCTTCAGACCACCCACCGTACGGCTTTGGATTCGACCCTTATCCTAGTAACGGAACCCAAATCAGCCTTGGTGCTCAACATCCGCCCAGCAAGCATTCAGAACACCCACACGTAGCACACTGCTTTCCAATTAGCCGGCACACTCACACACCCACAGTAGGCCTCAAGCCAGCAAGCACACTTGCAAAAAAGGGAAGAGAAGAGAAGAGAGGAGAGTGCTGGAAAAAGAAAAATTGAGAATGTAGTGAATAAATGATTTACACAATCTATAAAGGCTTATTTATAGTCAATTTCCCTCCAAAAGAATTTCTTCCAAAAAAATTCTCTCCAAACATTTTTAGGAGGGAAGTTAAAAATCCAGCAGCTCAAGCCATTAAAAGAGCTGGCAGGTTGGTGCGTATGGGCCACACGCAGGAAGTTTGTCTGGGCGCTATGCGGGCCTGCGTGCCGCTCTCCCATGATGTGCGGGCCTGCATATCACGGGCCCATGCTGTGCACCCCTGCTGTGCGGGCTGGTGGGTCTAGGCCACCCGCGCACAGTCTGCCTGGCTCTGTGCGGGCTGGCTTGCCCAGGAGCTTGTGCTGCGCTCCCCTGCTGGGCACCCTGCACCCTGCACCTGCGTTCTGCTATCCAATGGGGGTTCTCTCCCAACAATACTCCCCCATATACCGGCACTTCAGAACACCCTCAAGCCACCTCCAATGCGCTGAACTGCGATCCGTAACAGAGACACGTTGTTTTTTAATAATTTTTTTTTTATAATTTGAAGAGGAGTGATTTGAACCCTGCTCTTTAAATAAGAGATAATGCATCAAAAGCTAAATATTTAAGTACTTTTAATAAAGTTTGTAAATATTGATGATGAAAATATTATTTTTTAAAAAATTAGATCATCTAAATAAAAAATAAAGTTTTAAATGCGGAGGGAATATACCATAATTTTAGAAAGTCATAAAACAAATTTACAGGAGTTGATTGGAGACAATTCCTACGAACAAATTTAGAAAGAAGTTAATTTCTTAATTTGCAGACATAACTTGCCGGTGAAACAAGTCACATGGTACCATGGGTGGACCCAGTTTAATGCGAGTGGTGTCACATGACACCATTTAATTACTAAAAATCTATATTAAGTATATTAATTTGGAGTTTTACGTAATTAATAACACTAATGAACCCATTAACCTTTTTGTAATTTTGTAGAGAGTGACCGATTGAACTAAATTTATCAAAGAATAATTTATATATTAATATTTAAACACTAAAAGATAAAAAAAATTTCTATCATTTAAGATTTTATTAGAAAGTGTTAAAATCTAAACTAATCTCTTCCTCTCCAAAAATTTAAATCTTACTTTTGAGACTTGCAATGATGATTTCTTTTCTCGGTCCTTGGCTACATTTTTCACTCTTTCAAAACAATTCATCTAAGTTTTAATTGTTCAATTGTAAGTAATTTTCAACTCAAATTAAATTTTTAAATACTTCATATATAAATATTTTTTGATTAATTTGATAGTTTGGAACCCAAACAGAATCTTTCTAATAGAAAGTAGTATTGCATATCAAATAATATCTTGAAATTATAAGTCTTTTTTTATTTATTTTGCAAATATATTATTTAATTATTTTTTTTTTATAATTGGAGAAAGAAGGGTTCGAACCTTGCTCTTTAGGCAAGGCATCATGCACCAACCAACGAGCCAAATGCTCGGATGCGTTTGATTAATGATTGATTAATTGATTAATTTGATTATTTAATTTTTGTATGTAACTTTATGCAATTTGTGGATGCTTATAATTAGTTTTGTTCAATGAATAAAATTTTTCAAATTGTTAGTTGTTGAACCTGATAATTTGCTATACAAAATCATACTTTATTTAATTCTAATATTTTAGTTTATACTAATAAGAAATGAGTAGTAATTTTTAACAGATTTTTAAATAAATAAGTCATGAAAAGATATTTTAAAATATAAAAAATTATCTCACAAACTCAGGTCCTGGGCAATAAAAACATAATTCTACTAATGATGGTATTCAATAATCTTCTAAGTAAAATCGTGTTGAATTTGATTTAAGTACTTCCTTGACATATCCAAGATTAAAAAAAAATTAATTATTATTATTATTATTTTAGTTATAACACCATTTAGAAAAATTTTTGTATCTGTCCCTGCATGGTACGCCACTGTTTACTGAGGAGAGAAGCTGTGCAAGGTGGAGCTATCTTTGTACACTATTACTCTTCGTTTATTGTACATTCTTCTCCCTTATGCTCCCATAGACTTTGAAAAGGATGCATGATGCGCTTGCATATTTTCATTTTGGTTGCTACTGATATTATTTTTTACAAGTGGCTTTCTGCCGATGTGCGTACCCCGCTGAATGGTGCTTTCAGGGGGATACTTTAATTCTTTCACAGTTCAAATAATTTGAACGCAGGCGCTTTTTTGTAGTTAATTATTTATTATTAATGAATTGGACTTGGTTGAGGGAAAAAAAATCTTATTCAACAAACCAAACCCATCAGAAAAGCATTAAAAAATATACAAAAGAATGAAAACTAAAAAAAAAAAAGAAGAAGAGAGAAGAAAGCCTGGCATAAATCTCAATATAATAGGATAAAAACTATAGCTAGCACTCCTTTTGTTTCTGAGGGGTGAGAAACGAGTCAGAAAAGAGAGATTTTGGACCTTAATTATTCACCTGGTCTTGCATTGGAGATGATAAAGGAAACTGGGAAGACTGACGCAAAGCATATTCTCCTTCCTCTTCTGCTGGATTGGATAACGAGGGAATCGCAAAAATCTTTTGCCGGCCACGTTTCCCATTGTTTCATTATAGAAGCAAAGAAATAAGAATAAAACTTTTTACTTTTTTTTATTGGCTTATAAATGAAGTAGCTGCTTTAAATCTTTCCCAACCCTGCTCAGAAAATTCTCGAATGACATGTACATCGATAACGGCATCTGGTTATTATGATATGTATTCAGGTCCAATCCTATGCTTGTTTAATTTTTCCTATGTTCTTTGCTTTAATACTATTATTATTCTCTTTCTTTCAAATTCAAATATATCTACCTTTTACTTAGTACAAAAGTTTGGGAATAAATACTTTCCTTTACTACTTTGGCTCATGCATATATTTGATCATTTCATCATGCAAACTAAATTATTTTTAAAATTTTAATTCTTTTTTAATTTTTATTGCCACATGAACATGTACATGTCGACATGGGAAGGACAATTCACGAGAAATAACCAAATATATTACTTAAGTTCACTATTTTAAAACTTGCTTGAAGTATTAAAAATATTCTTTCTTCTTGGCTGAATATACACGTACTTGGTGAATCTAAAACTCGGTCACACTTTTGTAGGTAATATTATGTAAATGTATTTCCAACTTGGTATGTACAGGTATTTAGATTCTTTCCTGTATTATTTAAAAGGAAAAAAAAAAAGAAGAATTCCAAACCCCAAAAAGAAAAGATATAAAATCGCATGGAACGGCCCAATAAATACCCCAAATATTAAAACAAATGGCCAAAATCTATCAAGTTTCAATACAAGTGAAATATAAGAGATAAACCAATTCATTCTCCTTTTCACACGAGACGGAGACAACCGAATTCTTATCTAAAAATCTCCTTTTAACTAATTCGTCTTTCTCATTAACTCTGCGTTTTAGCATTTGTTAGTCGGATATCTCGATTTTAAAAGGGACAAGGCCTACCCATACCCGTTTCTAGTGATCAAATTTGAGACAAGTACCAAGAATCAGCTTGTAGAAAGACTTCGCTGAATATTCATATACATAGAATTTGTCGTCATACCCATGTTATTACAAGCGTTGAACATTTCCATTAAAAGCCTTTTGCTCATCCTCTTCTCGTAACAATCGCATTGAATATTCTTGAATAAGACTATTTAATATAAAAATTCAGTACATACTAACAACATATAGTAACTTATTATTACCTATTGAACTTTTATTGTTAGTTTTGCTAACTCAAAGTTAGGTTTCCATTACTAGCGCATTTAAGTCAAGCGTTTTAGTCTCATTCCACTAGATGTTGATTTTACAGCTTTTCTTGGCAATGCTTTGGTAAGTAGATTAGCCAAGTTCTTGTAATATTGAACATAAACTATTGTTACAACACCATTTGAGATTAATTCTCTTATATAGCCATATTCATAAACTTATGTGTCTAGACTTTTCACTATAAATTTGATTATGGGCTACACACATTGTAGCCTCACTATCACAATATATGAAAATAGCTAGCATTGGTTGTGGCTATGACTTTATATCTAATAACAAATTTCTCGTCCATTTAACTTCTTTCACAACAGCTGTTAATGCTAAAAATTCAAATTTCATTCTAGAATGAGTAATACAAGTCTGCTTTTTAGATGGCTAACTAATGGCACCACCTCCTGAGGTAAAAATCCAACTTGATGTGGACTTATTGTCATCAATATTAGTTATCCAAATAGTATAAAAAAAATCCTTCTAAACTACTAGGAAAACCACTATTACAAATTTTCAATAATCTTTGGTAGGCTTACTTGTAAACCTTGAAAGTTTGCAAATGGCAAAAGCTATATCCAATTTGGTACAATGTGCAACATACATTATGATGCCTATGATACTTGCATA